CCAAATTTATAGCGATAGCTTTGATGAAAATTCATGCCAACTTTCGTGACGATACCTTGTCAAATAAAATGGTTGAAATAAAAAGTGATAAAAAAAGAAATATTAACAAATTCCCAATTAAAAAATTGTAAATAAATGTAACTGAAACAAAAAGTGCTAACTATGTTAATATTTTATTAAAAATAAACCTAAAAATTATTTATTTATTTATTTATTTATAATAATTCATATAACAAAAAGAGTTTTGGCCTTCAGCCAATATATTTAACTATATAAATTATATACACTTGTGCTCATATAATTAAGTTATTCAGTACTTTTTTACAACATGTAAAAAAACAATGTACATACAATATTTCTTTATGCAACATTCCTAATATTGCGCGAGCAAAAAGTTCCTTTATTCTAGGTACGCCACCGATTTACAGCGCATTCAAGTATTTTCGTTTGGGAGAGTACATATACGTAAGGCAAGAAAATAGATAATCGAACAGACTCGCCAGAGATGTCGAGCTCTCTTGTCATCTTTCTGACACTTGCCTGACTATTTTCAAGCACCATATCCTTCAATCTTTAATGTTTTCATTAGTTGAAGAGGCACATTAGCAAATATACATTTATTGAAATATCCTTTACCCGGGGAATTTAATTACAATTTCCAGGTGCTTTTTTGTCACAATGTGTAGGTGCCATAAATTTGACAACTGACAATTTGGTATTTGGGATTAGTAATTTGAAAATTAGTTTTACGTAAGATTTTCGCGACAACGTACAAAAAAAAATTTCTAATGTGAGTTGAATTATATTATTAATGAATAGTCGAACATTTCTTCATATTCATAGAAAAATACGAAAATGGTATGACCTTCAACTTGAAATCAATTTTATACGCGAATTTAACTTTTAAATTTAGAAAACGAGTACTCTTTTCAATTAGTAATTTAAAATATAATTCACAACAGGCGGACTAATAGCCGTTTGTACATATTCATTCACACACTCAGTTCACCAATCACAGTAGAGACCTACAGAGATTTATAGAGGGTTAGGTCAGTACCTAACTACTACAATTACAAAGCCAAAGCAAATCAAATGCACTCGAAGTAAATCAAACGATTTTACAGGCAATGAAAAGAGAATATGTAAATACCTATGCATGTGTATATAGAAACGAGCGCACTGTAAATGCACTGTTAACGAACCAATGGAGAGAATGCAGGAAAAACTAGCACACGAAAATCTTATATGTAATTCACACGCATGTGAACACACTCTCAGAGCACCAAATTATTATTTGTGATATGTGCGAGTTTGTAACGTATATTTGTAAATGTGCGAATGTATTTGTTATATATTACAAGACATTCATTGACAATTTTGTGCTAAACAATTCCAAGTGTTTTCGCTTTCAAGTCTGATGAAAATTCCCGCGTTTGCCTCTGCTCAACATAATGATATTTCCAAAGACAACGCAGACACGCTTGCTGATCGCCGGCAACACGTGTGTTGCATCAGACTTTTTGGCTTTGAACGTGCGGCGTCTAAAGATAATAGCAATCATAATCAACTGTACATGCTTACACATTTATGTATGTATGTGCATATGTGTGTCTTTATTTAGGTAGCAAAAATAAAAAAATATTTTTGAGAATAATGAAAATAGATTTACATATGTACAATAGTATGTGTATATATGCACACTTTCTTCTAAAAAACTATCTTTTAGTCCATTTTAGGCGCACAACTTTGACTTTGATGTTTAACACACCCATACATACATATACACATTTCTATGTGTGTTTACTTTACCAAAGTTTTGCTACATTTCTTTTTTTATCCAAACGCACGCGCCATTTTTTCTGAATGCTTGTTTAAACAGCTAAGTAAATAGGCACTGCATACAGAAATAAGTACATATGTATGTATTTGTGCACACGGATAAGAAGAAATTGGCAACAAAACGTAAACACGCCAAAAATGATGGACGCCATAAGACTAACATATAAATTAAACGTTAAAAAATAAAAAAAAGATAAGGGTAATAAAGAAAAATTACGTTTTCTGGATTAATTTAACATATAATGTCTGTAATTACACAGACAAGTCTGTGAGTTTAAGAACAGAACTAACTAACTGATAGCTACAGCCATTTTAACGCTAGAGTGAGTATATAATAACTAACCTAAAATAAATAACGTTACGAAGTGATTTTCTTTAAAGAATTTATAGAATTATTCAGTTAAACACCTTTTCAGTGGCTTCCAGCAGCTTCATTTTTTGTACAAGAATTCTAAAAATACCACAGAGCCAGATCCAGAAGCTTCAGAAGACAAGTAATCAAGAACGCATTCAATTTAGAAATATTTAGCAATAATTTTATGTACATTTGTATATGGATATTTGTATGTACATATGTACATGTATTGTTAATGGTTCAAAGAACCGGTAATTTTTTGCCCAACTTTCATTTATTTAAAGAACGAAAAAGTCGAGGCAAATCACTCTTAAAACTTGTATACGAAAAATCATTAGAAATGGAATGATTTTAAGAGTTTAATGGATAATTGTTAAGACCCAGACATAGTTGTGTACATACATACATACATACATATTTATGTGGACAATACATATGCATAAGTATGTATGTGGCCGCACATAGTCGTACCCGCTGAGCTCCAAGATCTAGAATTTTAGTACACTGGATCTCCCTCTCCGGGGTATCATTAGTTTTTAGTACAGTTGACTCGGCACCGCAATTTAAAGATCCGATGACATGAAGCGTCGTAGCCAACGAAAGGTTTTTCTCTCCGTATAACAAACACATGTTCTCGTAGAAGAGATATTTACTTCTGCTATAAAGACACACATACCTCGTACTAGATGCGATGCTCGTGATATGTTTTTATATATACTTTTGATCGATTTTCGGCAGTGTTCAACAAGTGTGGCGGCGAGTAAAATAAATTCAGTAAGTAAATACCAGAGCGCAAACGTGTAAAATATGTAAATGTTGGAGTGTGTGAGCGTAAATAGCATAACTTATAAAAGATGAGTGTATGAAGCCAATGAGAAATTGAAAAAACATCATACAAAATTTTTTTTGCTGTTGAGCTTACTAACAGTTTAAGCAAAAAAATATTTTTTAATAACATATGGATTGGCCTTACTTAGTGTATTCAAATATATGTATTTTTATATTTTGCAAAGTAAAAATACATATATCAAATGTATTCAAAATTTTAGAAGAACGTTTATCAACATTACTAGTACGAATTAATTTTGAAAAATTGAATATAAACTTTAAGAAAAAAATTTTGTAATATAAGACATTAACTTTATATTTTATCACAAATAAAAAAAAATACTGTAAAAAACTCATTAAAAAAACTGTGTAAAATAGCTTCTTAGACAATTCTACGAAAATCTTTCCAATCAAAGGGATGTTAATTGTAATAGGAAGGTCCTCCGGCTTACAGTTTGTATATGTATATTTTTTTTATATAATCAGTTAGAAAAATTAAAATCTAGCTTCCTACTACTCGAAAAAGTATCTCCTTTCATAGATTTTGTAGAAAATAGAATGCTCTACAAGAGGAGTTCGTGTGACTTTTTTGTAAACATCACCATTTAAAAGATATTAACATTTAAAGGTTGATTATTTTATGGCAAATATTTGTTTTCTTATGAAGTTTATAACGCAATGAAAAAAAAAATCACTATAAATCGGATAAATCCTAGTTTTGAAGAAATTGATCTTTAACGACTTTTTTCGAAAACCTAACTATTTGATTATTTGAAGACATGTGTATATTTTTCCCCCCCCCCCCTATGAATTTGATAACGCAATGAAAAAAATCAGTATAAATCGGAAAACTCCTTGTTATGGAGAAAATTTACTGCTCTCCAAAATGATCACAGTTTTATTATAGTAAATTGTGATTACTTTTTCTAATATACCCCAAATTTCATAATAAATACATTAAAAACTCTACATTATATATCATTTTGAAATATGTAGTTCAAAATAATTTTAATTTATTAATAATATTAATAAAAATTTTTAAAGTTGGTAAATTATTTTTTATAATAGGTAATAATGGACACTAAACCTTTCGAACATCAAAATTTCATAGTATAAAATAAAATTAAAAATTCCATTTATAATAATGCTGTTGGTATTTTCTGCATATTTTTTTAAACGAATATGCTAGCAATAACAGTACGCAGTATAACATAGTAGTTATGCATTTATTTCCTGAGAGGACACTTGAACATAGGCAAGTAGTCGTTAGCATACACTTGTGGACACATAACTAAGTGCCGTTTCCTCAATGTCTGTTTAGCAGCCAATTGTCTGTTAATTTCTTGTTAAAAGAAGGACTTTACCAAAAGAAGGAATCTTGGTTAAGTTACATACTTAACTGCTTATATGGCTACAAAACAAACATTGAGAAAACGCGCCTAAGCCTATCGCTTTTCATGGTATTTTATTGTATGCAAAGTCATTTATTTTTAATGTAAACAAACATTGTTTGCCTTACTATTAATTTTAGGCAAATGATATAATATAATATTTTATTATTATTACTTGTATATATTACTATAACATTTTTATGGTATTGCGCTGATAACCTAGTAGTATTTTATTGTGTACTTCCTCAGCATTTTTCCGAATATGTTCCTGTTAAATAATTACATAACGCTCATATTTGTTTCTTGAGTATTTATATTTTCAAAGTTATGACTAGGAACCTACACCCTACACGTTTTATTAATAAAACTTGTATTTTACTACTTTGAAAAAAAAAAAATAACTTAGTTGTAAACGAAATAAGTTTTCAGTTATGTGAGAAAACGTTTTAATAATATATCCACAACTGTATCTGACATGTGTTAGGTGAGCGGAGGCGGACGTACATTGCTTGTATTGGTGTTGGTGCTGGCGAGCCCCTATAGATAGAGGTGCTCAGCGCGGTGCAAACTCAGTTGTTGCAGAAACTTCGAAGTGTTAATATTAAATTTTTTTGGTTTTAATGGTGGAAAAGAAACATATAAACGCAAAGTAAAGTAAAAGTGGAATCACAGGATCAGTAAATTTTAAACGGGATAGTGATAAAATATATGCGTGTACATACATATATGAAATAATTTAGAAGAAAACGGTAACAATTGTGAATTTGATTGCTGATTACAATAAAAGCAACTGCAAGGACTGACTGTGCCAAGTGTGTTGGATAGTGTGAATAAATAAACGAAAATATTTTTTTGACATAAGCAACTTGTTGGCGAATCTCATAATAATTGACCCATCAAGATGACGACCAAAATGGCGATTAATGCAAAGGTGCGTATGAGATAGAAAGAAATTTAAAGCAAAATAAAAAATTATAAGTTTTTACAGAAAAGAAACAATAATTTAATTTGAACAAATAAATTTTTGTCGCGAGTTGTAGGAAAGTACTAAAAACTAGATGTAAAGCAGTACTAAAAGTTAGTGCAGACCGTTCGAGAACAATAAAAACCACTCGTATCTTAGTATATTGATGAAAATGTGGAGCTGTGCCATCATTTAGTAAACATTTACAGTATCAAAGTTGAGTAAAAAGTATTTTCAACCTCTAAAACCTGAAACCTTGTATTAAACAGTTGCACAAAATTAGCGCAATGCACATTTTAAATTCGAAAAAAAAAAATCGTTTTAATTATGCAAAAATGAAAGGTAAACTCACCGCAAGACATGCGAGCAACTAAAGGTGGTTTCTTGGTTGGCCACCTAGCGCAAGTCTCGCTGGTTATTTACATATTTGCCGACGTTTTGTATAATTTTATTACTTTAGTCTTTTTAGCACACATTTCTTTCGTTTTTTTTTTTGTAGACTTTTGTTGCTAGCAAGGAATAAACGAAATGGAATTTAAGTGTGTTGCTCGTTCGCATAAATTTAAAGCAAAAATAGATAAAAAAAATAAAATAAAATAAAATGCGGCATTTTTTGCTGCTCGCTGATTTTGAAGTTTACGGACGCTATTTGAATTTTTTAGCGGTCGCAATTTATTGAAATCTATAGATATAAGATTTTGTTGTTGCAAACGTTATAAATTTGCCCATGCCAATAGGTATTTATAGCAGATAAGTATGCGTAAGGCAGTCTTTATTACACACCTAATGACACACAGCCATACAAATTTATGTAGTATATATGTACATACATACATACATTAATCCATACATATATACATATTTTATATACAATAAAATCGTTAAATAAACATACTTTCGGCAACTTTCAACGTTTATTTCAAGCATTCGCTGAGATTTGTAGTGTCTCGAGACTTTTCTGAGCCTGATCAAGCTCTTGCCCGGGTATATTCGCAACAATTTTCATTCTAAGTGTGCAAAAAACCGAGTTTTTGTTATCAGCGCGTATTTTGGTCATTTTAATTTGGCATTTTTTAGAATTTTTTAGGTAGCAACAAATTGATATACATACGTCTGTATATAAGTACGTTTCATTTTAATTTTAATATAAATTTATTTTAATTTTCGGAGATAACATTTGCCATTATCACTTCATATCTATATATAAGACACGTTTGCGTTAACTTGTGAGCTTCATTATGCTACAATAACACAGCCCGACAAAATTAAAGAAAATATTTGCTTCTCTGAATTTATCAACTGATTCTAGTTAATTTGGGCGCGCTGAATTCAAATC